TCCTTGGGCAGGCTGGCAGGCAGGATTCCAGACAAAGCTCATCCAGAGCTTCAGACTTCGATCAGGTTTCCTATGAGGCAGAGAAGACAGAGGCAGGTTAGAATCTAGTTTCTCTCTAGATTCTACTAGGATTCTATAAATTGACAGAGGCTCAGGTTTCGCTAACCAAACTTGGTCAACACTGCAGCGTTGAAGGAAGGTCTGGCTGCTGCTTATATAGGAAGGTCTCCTGATGGGCTGATGAACTTCAGGTGTGCTGGAGGGCTCCAGCCCAGGAGACCCACAGCACACTCTGCTGGAGAAAGGTGGTACATCTCCAGATCCCAACAGTAACCCCAGTCCCTAACAGAAAACAGAAAAGGATCCTCGGCGCCCTCTGGTGGGCAAGCCTCAGTAACCCAACAGTAATCCTTAATTTTATCCTTATCTTTTTTCATTTTACTTTATTCTTATCCTTATCTTATTTGATTCCGATGTCTTATTTGTACTTAAAATCCTATTTTTTTCTCTCTTCTGTAAATGGTTGCACTGCAAGAAAGAGTTTCCGGCAGGGGATTAATAAAGTAAATTGGATTCTGATTCAGATCCACCTGATAATTGCCCATAGTAAACATAGAATTTAAAATCTATTATCTATTTTTCTGTCAATCCATATTTGCTGTTTTTACTTTAAACTTTTGTTGAAAGAGGTGACATTTAGATGCTCGTTCTTGTATAAAAACCATCAGCATATTATCTGCATTAGGAACATTTATCATTAACATAAACAAACAGAAATCTGTCAGATAAATAAGATTAAAACCAGTCTAGTGCTGTTCCCTTAATTCCTACAAAATATACAAGTTTTTCTAAAAGAATATCATGATCAACTGTATCAAATACAGCGCTGAGATCTTACAGGAAAAGTACACACTGAGAATATCATTAGTGACTTTAACCAGAGGTGTTTCAGTGCTATGATGAGCTCTAAAACCCGATTTAAACTCTTCAAAAAGTTAATTAAGCTGTAAGTGGTCACACACTTGTATGGATACTACCTTCTCAAGAATTTTAAATAAGGAAGGAAGATTGGATATAGGTCTATAATCGACCAAGTCATCTGGATCAAGAGACAGTTTCTTGAGAAAAGGTTTCATTACAGCAGCCTTTGGTACATACTGTATCCTTGTAACAGAGATAGAGTAATCACATCTAAACTGGAGGAGGAGATCAAAAGGAATACTTCCTTAAATAAGCTGGTTGGAATTGGATCGAACATCCAAGTTGAAGGCTTAGATGAAGACAATAGTTTAGATTCTATGACTACCTCAGATGCTGCCTCACCTTCCAGAGATAAACCAATTGTAGTTAGATGAGTGCTATTGATCTTATTCTTAATAAGATCACTCTTATTTTTTAAAGAATCCCAAAAAAACATTACTGCTAAGAGCAGGTGGGATGGACGGTTCAACAGAGCTATGACTCTGGGTGAGGCAACTGTATAAAAAAAAAATCTGGGATTAATCTTATGATCCTCTAATAAAGAGAAATGTGGCTCTTGCTTTATGAAGGATCATTTTATACAGCAGTTGACTGTTTATAAGGTTTTCTTTTGTTTTAATGGGGACACGTTTTACGCAATACGCAGGAAACTAGTAAACCCTTTATTAAAATAATTTTGTGAAGGTGAATACATAAAAATGTTTGCCTGCCACCTGCAGTATCGTTCAGTAACACAGAGATGAAAAGGGGAAAATATTCTTTAAAATGTATTACTGCATTATCTGATAATGATCTACTAAAGTGAAACTTGATGCCAATCAAGTCTAAGATAGCATTAAGTTCTGTCATGTTGGGTTCAAAGCGTCTAACCCACATGCAGAAAACCACTCTTAAAACAGGGAAAATGTTAAATTATTTATTGACAATGTTTACAGATTATGGAGCACAGGTTCCGGGTTCTTCTGACTGGTCACGGGAGGGAAGCCACTGAGGAGGACAGAGCAGTTAGAATAGATCCAGGAAATTTGCAGTTTGCTGATGACGGGGATAAATACCTGCTCAGGGAGGATTCTGATCAGCAGGGGGGGAACCTTATGAGTCCAGAGGCTAGTCGGCAGGCAGAGGACTGAGGGCAGAGGCAGTGACTGAGACTGAGTGCAGGCAGGCAGATTCCAGGCAGAGATTTCTATCACCAGAGTTTCAGGTTTCCAGGAAAGTCAGGATCTGTGAGGCAGAGAGAAACAGGGTCAGACAGGTTCACAAAATCAGGGTCTTAGATCAGGCAGGCTGGCTCAGGTTTTGCTAACCATTACTGGCAAACACTCTGGCAGGGAAGTGTCAGCCTCCTCCTCCTTAAGTAGGTCACCTGATGAGCAAACAGGAAACAGGTGTGTAGGAGAAGCTCCTGCCCTCAGGAGGAAGATCTCAGGCGCCCTCTGGTGGAGAAAGTGGACAAGCCTCCAGATCCTAACAAGTGCTTCATTTACCATATCACCTACTATCACCTACTATAATGACCTAAATAAATAAGGTTAATATGATTAAAGTCTCCCTTTTATATCATAATGGTTGTAAAATAGCACATTACAAAACATAAAATATTCAGAAAAAGCATTTATTGGAAGAGCAATCAAACCAAAACTAAAGAAATCAATTAATCAAATAATCGCTTGAAGCAGAAAAAGAAAAAATAAATAAATATTAGAAGTTTCTGCCACTGTGTTTAAACCAGGGCCGTCACTAGGTTTGAGAGACATGGGTGGCTTAGCCCCTAGGTAAGATATTGCGCGCGCTAGCGCGCGCCGAAATTTTTTCAGTGCACTTTCTAAGGCGCTGTCTATAAATTCATTATTTTAAGAGCAACATACCTGGGAAACACTTCCCTCACTAATGCTACTTCACCAACTAAACTACACCAGTTAAAATGTGCTAAATTACAAAGAGTAAATGGTAGGTGCCATGCATTACTGCATAAATGGAAGAAGGCAAGTGGTTCGCCACTCATCATAATGGAAACCTTCTACAGAAGACAGTTGTCTAACCAACAGACTCCCAACATCTTCATAAACCCTTAACCTGGCCATTCATCTTTCCCCATCTCCCCTGCACCCACAACCTGTCAGGAACCCCTGTCTGCTTTGCAATAACCCTGTTTCTGTGTGTGTGCTTGGTGTGTGTGTGTGACCTGGACTTTGGCATGTCTTTCTCTACACCTGGCACAGAGAGAAACACATATATGTGAGGAACTTAACAATAAATGCAGCATTATCTTTGATAGATTTCTGCTTAATCTAAAGTTTAACCACAAAATACAAGTTGCATAAATGGACAGTAGGCAATAGGCAATAGCATCATTGCAAAGAAGGATATCCTTGAGACTTTTTCACATCAGTCTGACAAAGTTTTAATGCAAATAAAGGAAGTATTTTTAAGTACAATGTATTAATGAAAACACAAAATCAACAGTATATGAAACGTACAACTTAGAACTATAGTCAACCCAAGGAAGCACTACCATATCACACAGTGTCGCCCTATCAGACTGGTGGCACATAGATATGGGAGAATTATCCTGCCATAATGCAAGAGCACATAACTTCAATTAGAGAAAAGAATTTCATCTTCTTGCACTCAAAACTTATAATGCTCACACTCAAAACATGCGCTCTCTCTCAAATATTTTCTCTTCTCTCAAAAATCTTTGTTTCTTCTCTCAGATTTAAACAGATATTTTCTATATTATCACAGATATTTTTTCCTCTCGCTTGCCTCCATCTCCGCTCTGCACGGGTCTCAGTTACGCTCTGCTTGCGGATTTGTTTTGCTCTCTCAGACTGCAGTTGGATCGTTGCCTAGCAACCTTTCCAGCCAATAGAACGACAGCCTCGGAAAAGGTGCGCTTGTTTAACCCTACGGAGTGTGCCTGTGCTACTACGCCACTTATAAAGCGTCAGCTGAAACAGCTATTTACAGTAGTTTTGTGGCTGATTGTTGTTTAGAAATAGAAAACCTGGTTTCATTTCTTAGTTTTGCCCTGGATTTTGTAGCGTTTGTGGACGCTACGTCGCTACTTGATCAAAACAATAACGTCGCTACAGGAAAGTTACTTGATAAATAAAGCAGCGACGCTACGGTCAAGCTACTTGAAAATGTAGTTAAACTAATAGCTTCGCTACATGTAGCGGCGCTACTGCCCATCACTGCTCCTGTGACAAAACTATTATAATGATGCTAGTAGGCTACAACAACATCGTGTTTTCCCACACCACTGACTTTGTTCACCATGGTAACGTAATTCCTACTGAATCAGACAAGCTATTAGGCCTATATTGTCTCTTTCCTCACTCCAGGTAAAGTGAAGAAAATGTAAACCGCTGACATCAAATGGCAAACTCACCGTATGTATCTGCACGCAACCATAACTTTCCTAATCAAGCTCGATGACTGTGTGGAGATTCAAAGGGCGCGCTGTTGCTGCACTGCACAGCTGCTATGGTCCAGTTGATGGCCGTGTACCACGTGACGTGACGCTGGACGCGGAGCCAATGAAGGAAATGAATATCCTAACGATATTAATAATTGTATAAATAATTGTGTTTGTAAATAAACTAACAGGAACTTATCTTCAGATTAACTTGCCTTCTTGGTGGCTCGTTTTCAGTGCTTTACTGCAATTGTTTGGGGTTATATGGAAAAAAAATCAATAAATAAAAAAATAACAATAAAAATCGCAAAATAATTATGGGGTGGCTAATACCAACGAAGGGATGACTTCAGCCACCCTAAAATAGGTCTAGCCACGTCCCTGGTTTAAACATATTTTGTAGCTTTGTATTTGAGATTTTGATGGATTTCACATGTTGCCATGTTTGTAAAAGGTAATATATTTTTGTGTTTCAATGCAGATTATTCATAATCATGTTAGTAAAAATATTTGGAGTTAATCTCTATGAAAACGGAACTGTGTCCTGATTGTTTCTCCAGCCAATCCTTTTAAATGACGTGAGTGTGTGTTTTAGCATGTAAGGATCATATTTCAGGAATGCTTCACGGAGCCCAACCTTAATCCAAAGCAAAGAAGGAAACTCTTCAGACGTGTTTTTTACGTCCTCCAGCAGCAGCAACGGCGGCCTGGTGTGGTCCTTTTCATGGATTCTAAAGGGAAAACTGGGAAACTGTTTCTTCAGCCACACAAATCCAACCAAGTGAGTAGATCTTTACTTTACTATAAATGTGAATTTTTCCTAGTAATCAAGTGTTAATCCTGATTGAAGTAGTAGTAAAAAAAATAGGCAGACGATCAGAATGTTGATGTTAAATGGATGGTTTTAACCTCTGAGTCTCATTCTGTCCAGTTTAAGAAGCGCAGTAGAAGTTTCTATAAATTTGTTGGTGGAGTTTAAATGAGACTTGAGGAATCCAAACAGGCAAGTTGAAACAGAGCAAAGTTTCCTCCCAGCACATTCCTTGCAGGCTTCAGAGTCACCCAGGAACTAAAGGTTGCAGGATTCAGAAGGAACAGAGAAACTCCTCTGCTGTGACTCTGTGTGTGTTTGGTACATACCTGACACAGATGGGATCTGACTCATGTTTACCTTGGTTTCACACATGGGAGGGCTGAAACCGCCTCTGCAGACCTGTTCAGGTGTGACGGAATAAAAGGAAGCGTGTCGTCCTGATGACGTGTTTCTGTTCCACTTGAACATCAAGCAAAACGTCTGTTTCTTCAGTTGTCATCGTCTTTGACTCCTTTTTAACCTTATGTTTTGTTTCAGAAATGGAAACCAGTGTGGGTGTCTCTGTTCCCTCCCAGCAGCAACGGAGTGGGTCGACTAGAGATCAGGGACATGGGAGGTAAGGTTAATGTCTTCATGAAAAAATACCTACCTGCAATAAGATGTACATTTTAAGACTTTCTTAGGATTGTAGAAATAAGTATTTAGAAATTGATTAAAAAATATCAGTAATCTGGTATAAAACAGTCAGCTCTGCTACGTTTATTTTTTCCTAAGACCTGACAATGTTTTAGGGATTTCTGAGACCTGATAGCTTTTTTCGGATAACCTTATTTCTCTGAGACTGTAGGATGTCCTAAAATGTACACCACACTGCAGAGCTCTGATGGTTCACCAGAAGCCCTTTTTTAGCAGCACCAAGCAGAATTCGGTAGTTCACTTTTTTTTAAGTGGTCTCTGTGGCTTCAAGGACACTATCAATGTGTCCTTATCTTATCAGAAGCAAGCAAACACATTTACTGGAGCTGTTTTACTCCTGGTAAATTAACTCCTGCTGCTTAGCTGTACCTGTGAGGCTCTGATTGCTAGAGTGCTGGAAATAAAAATCAGAGCCCAGCTTCAAGACGATGCTCAAGTGTTTACTCATCAGCAGGTGAAAAGATTATTAAAAAGCCACTTAAAAAAAAAGGGGTCACACTTTTTTATAGGTGTGTCTCCTTTTGGAGCTGTGGTTCCATTAGAAAACAAACAATCAGGTATATAAAGAGAATGAAATATTAAAATTCAAAAGGCTTTGTTGATAGACAATGATTTGGACTCTTCTAGGAAACAATTCATGTGAACTGTTCAGATAGCTCCCTGCTTCTGACCCCAAAAGACTCAGATACTGCTGGAGGTGTTCAGCAGAACACCACAACCGAGCTCCAACATCTATAAACAAAGGTGTTGATGGCAGCAGCATAGATGATATTTCTCTCCAGGATGGAGTCACAGCCAAACAAAAACAGACAAAGCTACTATGAGAAAAAGCAGAGGGAGCATAACATTAGAGACTGAACTAACAGATTCTGCAGAGTGGGATAGAAGGGAGTAGAATGAAGCAGAATGGTGAAAAAGGGGTCCCCATGTCATCCAGAAGTTAAATCCTATAGCAGCATAACTATAGAGATAGCCTAGGATAACCTGATCCGCTCTAAGGAGATTGAAAGTGACTTGCTCTGTTAGGAACATAAGGAACAATCATATCTCTGATATAAGATGGAGCTCGGCCATTTAAGGCTGTATATGTGAGAAGAAGGATTTTAAATTCTATTATGGATTTAACAGGAAACCAATGAAGAGAAGCCAGGATAGGAGAGATATGAGCTCTCTTTTTATTTTTCATCAGAACTCTGGCTGCAGCATTTTGGATCAGCTGAAGGCTTTTAACTACAGTTTGTGGACTTCCTGATAGTAAAGAATTACAATAGTCCAGCCTTGAAGTACCAAATGCATGGACTAGTTTCTCAGCATGGACAGGATATTTCTTTTTTTTTTTTATTGGACAGGATATTTCAAATTTTTTGCAATATTACGCAGATGAGATAAGGAAATTCTGCTTTAGCTTCCTGCTTTCAGAAGCAAAAAGTTAAGAGTCGTTCAGCTTTTTATGTCTTCAAGACATGCCTGTAATCTAGGTAATGGATTATCTTCATCTGGATTTATAGACAGATATAGTCGAGTATCATCAGCATAACAGTGGAAATAACTAACCTTTGAGCAAGAGGAACATTTGTCATTAACATGAACAAACTAAAATTGATCAGATAGATAAGATTTAAACCAGTCTAGTGCTGTTCCTTTAATTCCTACAAAATATTCAAGTTTTTCTAAAAGAATATTATGATCAACTTTAACAATTGCAGCACTGAGATCTAACAGGACAAGTAAAGATACAAGTTCATTATCTGAGATCAGATAATGGACCAGAGCTGTTTCGGTGCTTTGATAAGCTCTAAAGCTAGACTGAAGCTCTTCAAAAAGTTAATTATGATGTAAGTGATCGCACACTTGTTTGGGAACTATTTTCTCAAGAGTTTTAGATAAGAAAGGAAAATTGGATATAGGCCTATAATCAACCAAGTCATCTGGGTCAAGAGACAGTTTCTTAAGTAAAGGTTTAATTGCAGCAACCTTAAAAGCCTTCGGTACATATCCCTGTAACAGATATAGATTAATCACTAAAATAAAGGACGAGATCATAGGGAATAATTCCTTCAATAACCTGGTTGGAATTGGATCTACCATACAAGTTGAAGGCTTAAATGAAGGCAATAGTTTTGCTAAATCTGAAAGTTAAACTTTATCAAAGTAGTATAAACCAGGTTCAGATTCTATGGCTCCCTCAGATTCTGCCTCAGTTTTCAAAGATAAACAACTCATAGTTAGAGGAGTGCTTATTTTTAATAAGATCAATCTTATTTATAAAGAATCCCATAAAATCATTACTGCTAAGAGCAGGTGGAATGGATGGTTCAACAGAGCTATGGCTCTGGGTGAGTTTGGCATCTGTAGGCTGATGATGGTGTCTGCTTGCTGTTAATGGAGGTTCTTTGTGCTTATGGTGGTGGTTCTGCTTGCTGTTGGACTCCATTCTACATTTTGGTGAAAAGTATCTGTTCTTGCACTGATCTACTTTCAGATTCAGAGAGGAATGGGTGGTAGTTTTACTTCCAGCCTTAGAAAGTGAAGAAGGCCAGAAATGGTTTTATGCTTAGGTGATGATGGGATAGATGGGGAATCTATTACTAATTTAAGGAGGACTTCAAGTGAGAATTAAAGAAAAGCATACGTGGGGAAGTTCTTCTCCTCAGCCTCAGAAATGCTCTCGTTGATCCCACAAAGTGAGGAATTGTAACATCTTGAAGCTAAAAGACTGACGCGATTGGAGCATGGGGAGATTGCAGAATCATGTTGTGTCACAAATAATCATGGAGTAAGAGCCCACTGGTGGATGCAGGGTGGTGTTTGAGTGGGGGTGGTGGTGGTGGGACAAGCAGCAGCAGAACACGAGCTTTGGATCTGACATCCTAAATAGAGCCGCACATGGTGACAGCGTTATGTAAGCTCTGATGAATGATGCATATCTTCTCTGAGTGATCTGTGTGAGCTCACATTCAGTCAAGAGCCTCATTTTCTAATCATCCAAGCAACAGAAAGTAGGACACAGAGCAGATTAATGATAATATGGGGAGACAAATGAGAGGAAGAGGACACATGAAGGAGAAAGATGGATCAGTTAGGGAGGTTCACAGCTTTGGGTTTTGATTTTAGGGTGTCTTCTGTCTGACTGATGACCTCATGTTGATGGTCTGACTGCTAAAAGTGACTCTGAGGCTGTTAGCTGGGGAACCTTTTGATTCATTAACAAATTATTCGGTCTAAAATATTTCAAAAGTATTTAAAACCAAGAGAACATGCATGTGAAGCTAAGTTCAGTTAATGTTTAACTAAAAAGTATTTTAATAATTGATCACAGGGGAGGAATTAGGTTTTCAGGAGATTTTTACTGGAAAATGTTTTATTAGAATTGAAGCTAAGTTTAAATAATAAACTAACAGTTGTCCTAATAAGTGCCACTGAGGATTCACACAGGAAAATGTAGCCCTCTGGTGGTTCATTTGTATCATTACATGGTTTTACATATGCACATAATGCTGAAATGTAATTTCTTAGCTTTATCATGAAACTATGAATGCGAAACATTTGTTCATCGTTGTTGTAAGGGTTTGTTACTATGAACCACAACTTGAAGTGAAGTTCAACCTTTCTTTATGTTTGAGCTGTTTTCATAAATATGTCTCATCAAATAATAATATCATAATCAAAATCAATATTAATATCAAAATCATCCATGATTAACTTTAATGAAACTCGGCCTCCTCTACCAGATTTCACAGAATTTGCATTGAAAGGCTGTTTGGTGGCGATGTTTCTCTCCTCAAGGCCCCATACAAGCTGGCCTTGCCCCCAGCACAACAAGTTAGAACAAAAATCAGACAATCTGCAACATCATGTTGGAGACAGACAGAGATGGGAAGTAACAAAGTACAAATACTTCGTTACTGTACTCAACTACATTTTTCTGATATTTTCATTTTACTTTACTCCTCTTTTTTATGGGGACTTTTTACTTCTACTCCTTACATTTTTACACAAATATCTGCACTTTCTACTCCTTACATTTTAAAAAATTGGCTCGTTACTTTAGTTTTGAATCCTTTCAATGGAGTTACCGTTATTATTTTTCACGTCATCAATACCAAATTTAATCTACCGTAATTGGATGGGAATCTACGTTGCATTTGACGCACCACTACAAGATGAATCGACAGATTCGGCGGTATTCATTCGCGGCAAATCATTGCAGCTTGGTGGCGGTGGCGTTGGCATAGTAGTATGGACGACGAGATGATTGAAAATGAACACAACGGAGATCTAGTCCTATTGGCAGACATCCATTTAAAATGTAGGCAACGGCATGAAAAAAGTGGTTTCTAATTTTACTTTTATACTTTAAGTAAATTTACAAGCCTGTACTTTGTTACTTTTACTTGAGTAAAGAAGTTTAATCAGTACTTCCACTTTTACCAGAGTATTTTTTAACACAAGTATCTGTACCTTTACTCAAGTACGGAAAGTGAGTACTTTTGCCATCTCTGGAGACAGACATGTAAAATCTAACTGATTGTGAATCAGAATGGCTGCAGATGAGTATATCCTATAGACACATCTTTGAAAAATGGACTGAATTTTTTTTTTTTAATTCAGCTCTTAGAAAGTATAGCAGAAGGTTTTCATAAAAAGGTGACATGCTGTTATTTAACCACAGCCAAGTTATTTTAATACATTGATTATCTTCGGCCATTTATAGATATTTTTTAAATTGTTTTCATGCTTTGTAGCATTTAAGATAGAAAACCAGCTTGTTGGATTTTAAGTTTTTAGAATCCTTTTGAACATTTCCTTAAAGCTGCAGGACAATTTCTGACCTGTCAGGATGACTAGTCTGTCCTCTGAGGGTGTTCTGCCTCTATCCTGCAGGAGGCGGCGATTATCCTGGGTTCCGCAGACACCAGCAGTTTCATGGAGACAAGAGGACTAAGGTGGTCCTTCTGTCAGAGCTGATCACTGTCCTCAGGTTGCCCCCCAATGCTGAGGCCTGCCCCATGGTTGGTTCCTCAGCCTGATCCATTAGGTTCCCTCAGCTCTGTTCTGTACAAGCAGCCTGTAACCGTGGCTCTCTTTGTGCAGGAGAACATGTCAGCGTTTTGTGTGGAGACCCAAGACAGAACACTGGTGTTCGCTACCCTCAAAGACGACTGTGCGGAGTGGGTGGACAAGCTGTGTCAGAGCAGCTTCCAGGTATCTTCAAAGCTGACTGCCCTGCTGAACTGGAGAGTTCATCAGATGATCATTGGTTCTATAATGTCTTCAGGGCGCTTCAAAATTACATTCATTAAAACACCCCTAATATAAATGAAAAGTTCAATAACAGTAATGATAAATTTTAAAAAAGGAAACTTATGTTTAACAGTTATGATTGCACTAGCTGTCAATCAGGTTATTTTAGATGCATCAAAAGCAGCATGAAGGCTTTTTATTGTCTTCACAACATTCCTAACAACCAAATTTTGCTGACTGGTACAATTGGGAAATATTTGAATGTAGACAATATTCCTCAGTGCCGTGATTAATATGTATATTAATCTTATTTTCATCTATTTTGAACCTCTGTGGTTATGAATATTACTGCACAGATCTATCTCTGTATTCATTAGAGCTGAGACTTTGGTTTCATCTGATTCTCTCCAGCTTTCAGTTTCTCAGAACTTCACTTCATTTACTTCTGTTCTTCATTTTGTTGTGTTTTCATTTAATCCTCTGATGACCTTCAAGTGTCTCAGAGTTATTTTCCTTAACCAAATTTCCACTCAGGTGATTGTGCCCCTCTTCCATACGAAATCTCTGTTTATGGTAAGACTATAGTGAAAGTTGCCTTTTTTGTCTCACAGAGAGAAAAAACTTCAGGGACCAGTCAAGTCCACATGGAGGAAAACCAGATTTATGCCTCTGCACATGAAGGTGAACCTTTATTTTTATTACAGATCCACTCTTTAAATCTGTAAAAGAAACCTTTATTTCAATGGAGATGCATAAATCAGGTTATAGAAAAACAGCCAGAGTTCTGGTTTTGTAAAAACAAAAATCCTGCAAGTTTCTCAGTATTATTAGAACTCACAGTTTGATGTTTACCAAACTGATCGGGTTGAGAGATGGACTCACTCTGGCATTTTAGATACCTAAATAGATCACAGCCCTCTTTCTCTTCCTTTTGCCGAGCAAAGACCTCTAACGTTCTTTGTGCTTTATTGATAAAACCAGATGGTAAATGGAGTGAAGCATTACAGATTATAACCATTTCCCCCCAAACACATTTTTACATCAATACAAAAGGTAGACAACATCAACAGGCCAACCCATCCTGTCCACCATCAAGTTCTGGATGTAGTCTCCAATAAACCCAGATCTTAAAGGAATAGTACACCCAAAACATGATTAGCCTTCATTTTCTACTCACCCCCATGCTGAACAACACTCTGGAGTACTTTTTTGATATCTCAAATGCATCTGGAGATCTGGGAGGCTTCTTGCTGTCTGCTGACATTCAAATAATGGAGGTCTATGGCGCCCAAGGCAGAAAGGTCCATAAAAGTCCACAAAAAACGTGTCAATATTCCTCCATACTGCTCGTCCAATGTATTCCAAGTGTCCTGAGTGGGTAGCGTCCATAATTTACTCGAAACAAAGTCATTTAGAATGTTTTTAGAGCATAAACAGTAGTGTATAGGATTTCCTAAAAGCGCGCCTGCGAGTTCACGCGTCTGTGGAAACCGCGGCAGACCAAACCAGATGAAAGTGCGCATTCAGCGTCTGCTCTGCCGATAATGCAAGCGTAGAAGAAGAAATGGCTGTTTACCTGTGCAAGGAAAGAAACAACGAAAGAAAAATGTCTGAGGACTTCAGTGTTGAGGAAGAGCGTGAGTTCTTTGCCGAGCTGAATGCGCACTTTCATCTGGTTTGCTCTGCCGCGGTTTTCGTAGACTCGTGAACTCGCAGGCGCGCACTTTTAGGAAAACCTATACACTACTGTTTATGCTCTAAAAACATTCTAAATGACTTTGTTTCAAGTAAATTATGGACGCTACCCACTCAGGACACTTGGAATACATTGGACGAGCAGTATGGAGGAATATTGACACGTTTTTTTGTGGACTTTTATGGACCTTTCTGCCTCGGGCGCCATAGACCTCCATTATTTAAATGTCAGCAGACAGCAAGAAGCCTCCCAGATCTCCAGATGCATTTGAGATATCAAAAAAGTACTCCACAGTGTTGTTCAGCATGGGGGTGAGTAGAAAATGAAGGCTAATCATGTTTTGGGTGTACTATTCCTTTAATGGGGGAGCATTGTTTGGATTGTTGATAATTTTATGAGATGCAGAATGTCAGCGCTGTCTTACAAATATACCACCATTTAATGGGAAATAAGAGGATTTGTCACCATCCTTACACCAAAGGAATGATCCAAAAATGTCTCGCTTAATGTATTAGTATGTTTTTAACTAAGATGGAAAACCACAACCTTGTAAAGACATTTTATCATTTAGTTAGATCATACCAGAAACAGGCACTCGCCCTTCCATTTTGTTGACATGAACTTTCTCCACTCATCTGCAGCCCCTCAGTTCTGGGTTGGGCTACAGAAAAGTGATGCCGCAATGCGATGTGGTCTGCAAGGCTCCTACTGGCTGCAGGTGGAAGAGCAGTCGCTACTACTGAGAAGTACGAAAGAGAAGGAGGTTGTTATGGAGTGGCCGTATGAACTACTGCGGCGATATGGAAATGATAAGGTACTGATGTCATTTGTTGACATATAAAGGGGGGGAAACAGGAAATAATTTGTCCATGTTCTCATGGCTCTGTATTCGCACCAGGTGACCTTCACCATCGAAGCAGGGCGCCGCTGTGAATCCGGGCCTGGAACTTTCATATTCAAGACCCAGCAGGCTGACAACATCTTCTCCTTGATTAAGAGTAACATCAAACGGAAAACTGCAACTTCTACTTCTGGACACCAAATCCAAGACGTTGAGCAGGATGCTGTTACCAACATTCAAGCATGTTCTCCTCTTCCCAAAATCCCTGACCTAACCAACATGGCGGCCATCGTGGAAAACAAACTCAGAGTGCAGGACAGGAAATCTCCCGTGTTTGATGACATCCCAAAGAGTCGAGACGATTCAGTCTGTCCGGCAGAAGGTCTTCCTGCTCCGATCACCTTGATGCCTCTCCCATCGGTTCCTACACATAACGATACCAGCGGACATAAACCCGACAGCCAATCAGACGCTATATATGCTGATCCGAAAGACTGCATCCCATCTATTATAGTACCCATACAAACCAGAGCTCACTACATCGACCCGGCGAGTGTACTTCCTCTGAAACCACCATTTGCAAAAGAACCTGTCGACACAGTTCCTACCACATTAGAATCAGATCCAAAACCTAATACAGATTTGCTGGATTCAGTTTACTCAGAGGTTTACGATAAACTCAGTCCAGACAAAAACAAACAACCCACTCTACAGAATCCAGCAAAAACATCAGACGAACCCATTTACTCCCAGCCGGATAGCACAACTCCATCAGAGGGCCAAGAGACTGAACCCAATCCTGACCAGTTTGCACATCTTTACGCTCAGGTTTGCAAAGCAGCGACTTTAAGCAAAAACTCGAAGTCTGTCACCACATCAGCTTCTTCCTCATCCACCATGAGTTCAACCAAGTCCAGAGAGGATCCTCTGGATGATGTCATCTATGAAAACCTGGGCATCATTTAAATCAGCTCCTTACTGGAACCAATAAGACTTTCTTTACTTTTTTAGATTTTTCTTACTTTAATTCATTCCTTTGTGAAAAGTATTTGAAATATTTTTATTCTGCTGTTTAAACTGTGATATGAATATAAATCAGGATACAACCTGGATAATTATGATAATTTTACAACATTAAACATTTGCATTTTTACAACAGTTATGACCGCATAGACTGGGCTTCACTTTGTGTAGTTACTCATTTAATTTACCTTCTTTTTTTTTATTTCACGCTGCTCCAATATTAAACATTAAAGAACATTTATCTCTGAAATAATTCATTAAAACTGGGTTTTCCAACAGATCTCTATATCTGTTCCATAAAAAAAACAAAAAAACATTTAAGAACTTTAAACTGAACGAAAACTGTTTAATTCAAACACTGAGTTTCTGAATTTAAATGATTGTGGTAAAAATGACCTTTTCCTTCCTCTGACCAAAAAGAACAAATATTTTTAAGGAGTTTCATCTACAATGCTACTGCAGAAATTGATTATTTTTAACAGAGAGGTCCTTTATCGGTCTCATTCTTCACTTAAACTACTTCATTATCTTTTAGCCCAAATGACAACCCCAACATACTCTGCAAGCAAGAGCATCAATTCTTTTAAAGAAGGGTGGAGTGTTTAAACTTATATAGTTTTATAGAGATCCTGGCAGGGGATTAAACAACCCTTCGGTACCAGATGATTATTTTTGTGTGGCAACCAGATGTTTATGTAACTGAATCATTTTTAGGGATGTTTTGTTTGACCCCACTGTATTTAAACTCAGAACTTTATTCCGTTGTGTCAGGTTTGTGTCATTTGAGTCCTTTATTCCTCAGCTGTATGACACAACAGGGGTTCTAGAGCAAATACATCAGAAGGGGGCTGGGATGGGGCAATAGTGTACTTTTTTTTTGTTTTAATTTTGTATCGGGGCATGAACAAAGAATGAAACCAAAAACAAGAAAAAGCTTATGCATTAATATAGTGTATGAAGTAAGCCATAGAGCCAAAGGGCCACTTGGAGCTCTAGAGCTGCAGGTTGAGCCACTGATTGAGATGAAAACAGAGATTTAAAGCTGAGAGTGCAACACATTGTTTTCTAAATTAATTAATTGTTTAAATTAAAGCTATTAAAACAAGGTAAATAGTTTCTGTGCTAATCTGTATCATCAAGAGAAATACTATTAGGTTCCCAGTACAGCGGTCATAGTGGGGGCCAGGATCAAATCGACAGGGCCACTGGCTCCAGCTGCCCCCATTCTAGATTTCAGGGGACACAGAAACCAGGTGAGTCTCATCAACTGAAAGCGGCTGAGCTCCACACTCTCTTCTCCACTGGTGGGGGTCTGTCTTTAGGTCCAGCTTTGACCTGTTTCAGGTTGAAAGGCAGAGGGTGTTCTGCAGAAGCAGGATTTGTTCACCTTTTGTGATTTACTGGAAAGAGGAAGGAAATCTCCTTTCACAACATAGATTTCACTTGATGGAGACATCAAGGACATTTTCTGTGCAAACTTGCTGATCCGACTGAGTGCAGATCTTACGTCTTTTCTCCAAAACTAACTGAAGACCTTATTTACCCGAAGACAAGATCTACTGTCACTGAAAGGTTTCATAGTGGAGAGGAACAGCCATGAGTTTACCTGCACCGCTGAGGGGACTCACTGTCATCCTGCTCTGCTTATCAGGTACAGTATGACCACATTTATTATTACACAGAATCTGTGCAATATAATCACTTAATCTAATTATATATCAGAGTCAAAGGGTCATGTTGATAAGCAAAAGTTAAACTCAACTTAAGTAAAACTAAAGTTTATGCCTATAGCTACCCTGTTTATATGGCACAGAAAGAATTATAATCCCACAGGGCTACAGAATCATGTATAAAGTAGAGGCATATGATTTATTAAAGTGTACAAAGTGGCTAAAATTGTAAACTTTAATGGGAGTAAAGTTGTAGTGCCAGAGTAGCTTGCTCTTATATAAAATGATGAACTCAAACATTTCATTTATAGAGCTACAACATAGTCTTTTAAAAATTTGGTGATGATGAATTGGCCCTCATATGAAATAGGCTTGATGCCCCTCCTGTAGAGGTTAATTAGTTTTTATAAGGAAGGCTTTCATCAGGGATAAACAACGTCCCTTAAGGAAGGCAACAATAGCAGAGGGCCACATAGGACCACAAACTTAATAAAAGTGCTGTTTTATGTGGTTGTTTATTAAAGTAAAATATGTGGCAGTAATGTCAAATACTTCCTGGTTAAATGCAGGTAAAGCAGCTGTACTCTGCTTTACTAGACAAGAACACATTAGGAGCAATTATTCCTTTTAGGTGCAGATTCCCTTGTGGTTGAAGTTGCTGCAATTTATGTGCTATTGATTTGAGTTGTTCCTTTTTTTTGGGACCCTGATATTCTCTGTAATCTCAGATGTTATTGTATACTTTTTGTTCCCTAAACTTCTCTGTGATCTCTGGTGTTCTCAGATTTTTCCACTGCATGAAAAGTGGGATTTTCGTCAATATACGGCACTGTAGATTGTCGTGGAACTTCAGGTTAGCGGCAGTATACGGCAATTTGCAGGCTTCGACGAAAACTCCCGTAAATTGTCAGAAATTGACATGGAATTTCTTAGGCAGTGTTCCCCCCATGCCTCCCCCCCATGGAATTCTAGGGGAGGCTTTAACATGTAAATGAACATGCTGTGAGCTATACAAATGCAAACCAGGGTTGCAGGGGGGGTTTTACCCCCCCCTGCAACCCTGGGTAAGAAAATCTCTGATACAAAGAGATCAGGTATAGCCTCTTACATTTTAGCTTGAATTGATTTATTTAATTAAAGTATAGAGACAAAAACAGATCTTTAGCTGACAGAGCAATACATTTAGAGCAGTAATTATTTTTTTTTAAATTTGCATTTAAGATAAAAAATAAAATGTTGTCTGTCAATATGCTCAATTCACAATTACTTAAGTGGAAAAGTTTCAAGAAATGATTCTGAGATGATTCACTTTATAACATGGCGCATTATCCTGTTGGAAGTAGCCATCAGAAGATTGGTACACTGTGGTCATAAGGACATAGGTCAGCATGCTAAATTGGTATTAAGTGGCCCAAAGTGTGGCAATAAATATCCCCCAAATAGATGGTAGCTTGAATTGATTTATTTAATTAAAGTACGCTAGATTACTGTGTATGCAAATGTTATGTAAAAAAAATACACAAAATAATTTACTTCAAAAATTAGTTTTAATCAGAATCAGTTGGCTGTAATGGTTAATTTTTTTTTTTAGATTTCCACTTTTTTTTTTGTTTGTTATTGAATATATAAGAAAACAATAACAATCTCAAATAACAAGTCAATAACAAATATTCCAATACAAGAAGAAATATCACAACTCCTGCTTTTGAAAAATAAAATTAAATGCACAGGCTGGAACAAAGTATAAAATAAAATAAAATAAATAAAAATAAATAAAATAATAATAGTAGTTAAAGTAAATTAATCAGTGGGGACTACCAACTGAAATTCTTCAATTAACTCAAACAATTTAATTGCATTTAAATTCTGCATCTTTCTCAGACATCTTTTGAAAAGGGAAAGTTCATTTTTGAGAGCAGAGATTGGGAGGGAGCATTTTGCATAGCGACATTTATGGATATAATACTTTGTTACAATTATTAGAATATTGATTAAAAATTCCAAATTTTTTTTTCTTTAATGGATAAACCGAATTGAATGTTTTGCCAGGAAATAAAATCTAAATTTATTGTTTTAGTTTTTGGGAATATATACAAACTATGCTCTAATTTCTAGATACCGATCTGTTTTTACTATAATTTAATTTGACAAACCGGGTCTTCTCTACATTCTTTTTTCTGTTTGGTGCGATTGCAATAGCGGGTCTTGATCTGGACGGACCGGAGGGGAGCAAAAAATAGCTCAGCTCCGTATTTTGACGGTGAAGGACGGAGAAGACGTACGTGGGCGGTGACGAGCGGAGGATGTGGAACAGCTCTCATTGATTTACATGACAGACAAGTAATACAGATAGTAGGATGGACATTTTATTAGAAATAAATCATACACTGTTCAGAATACGAAACATGGGGCTGATAGTTACATTTGTGTGGGTTCCAGTACATATTGGGGTGGAAGGAAACGAGAGGGCAGATAAAATGGCAAAAAGGGCAATTAAACATTCTATTAGTTTTATAGTTAAAATAAGTAAATCAGAAGGAAAGAGTATTATTAAAGAGAAACTTATGGAAATTTGGCAAAAAAGGTGGGATGAAGATAAAACAGGAAGATGGTTTTATAAAATTCAGAAGATGGTAGGAGAAAGAAGAAATGGAAGAAGAAATAGAAAGGATGAAAGAGTGATAACAAGGTTAAGATTTGGTCATACAGGACTTAATCATACACTTTTTAAAATACAAAAACATAAAACGGGCAAATGTGATTTCTGTGATAAATATGAAACCATAGAACATGTTATATTAGAATGTCATAAATATGAAAAAGAGAGAAGATATATGAGAAGAGAGTTTGAAGACATTAAGGAGAAGGTTAATTTATTAGATATACTGAGGAAAAATTTAGGGAGTAAACACATACAAATAATTATTCGATTTCTAAAGAAAACGAAATTATTCCATAGAATTTAATTATAGTAAGTGTGTTTGTGAGTGAAGGAATGATATACAAAGCTGTGCACAAATATGTTTATATTTTTAAGTGTGAATGTGTGAATGTATGTTTAGAAGAAGTTAGGGTAGAATGTATCAGGATCAATATTTAAACCATCACGAACCACACTCCATACCAGTAAGTGGCGGTAATGCTACTAACAGTTTGTTGCCAACCGCCATAAAACTCGACAAGAAGAAGAAGAAGACGGACAAGTACTCCGTACGTGAGCGGGGCGGAGCGCTGACGGAGTATGTGGAATCTGGGGGTAAAGGAGGACAAATACACGTCCGGCTGGGTGCAACGCCGGACAGTGCAATGAAAATCCGGACTGTCCGCCCTAAAGCCGGACATCTGGCCACCCTATCTGCAGTCGAGCAACTTTGCGGGATATACGAACTCGAGGAAGAGAAGACGGGTGCACAACGCCACGCTAGCGGTAAATATTTGTTCGATTACTGGTAGCTATGCTAAAAGCAGCCTAGCTTA